GGAAGCTAATCGTTATATTCTGATGGAGATAAAACAGTAGCTCTCGTGGTTTTGCAGCTTGGAGTCCCATAACTTACTATCTGTGAGCCCTTCATTTTACGTAGGACAGTAGCCAAAACACTGTACTGAAGTTATGAAGCATGATCCTTAAATCTTCCAGTAAGTTAAGGTGGTTTTAAAGGGGGAAGTTTACCTTGATTTAAAATCCAAAACTGGATAATTGCATGGTAGACTGGATACAAGAGCAGTGCCTTGTATAGCTTTTGCCATAGGCTAACTTATATTTGTGGCTGCACGTACTGAAACTTTGTTTCCAGAATTGCCCATGTCAAACAGACTAGAAGAGGGCTTGGACTAGTAGTAGATTAAAATCGGGTATTGTCTTTCGGTGTGCTATTGTGGCCTTTCTGCTTTATATCCATAGGTGCAATTTGACCTGGCTAAATTTCAAGTGTTGAAGTGTTGGTTTCAATTAATGTTCCCTAGTGTAAGTCAGCTGGAGGGGGGGTTCTTTTTTTTTTTTTAAAGTAATGAAAAAGAAAAATTGATTGTAAACAATGCTAATAAATGGTTTGTTTTTTAAAGCTTTTGTTAAGTGTTTAATAAGATGAGGAGGATCCTGGAAAACTACTTTTCTGCCTGATTTCATTGCTGTTGGCAACTTAGTATTGCTGAAGGAGGTTCTGTTGGCTCATCTCTCGCTGCATCCGCCGTGCTGTGGAACGGCAAAGCGTGCACCTACGTGTGCGTACACGCGGGGGGCGGGGGTCTATATTTGCATATAAATGCAGTTGCTTTATTTCAAAAGGGCTGACTTAATATTCTCCAATTTTGGTTGCAGTCCTTTCTGGAGGTCAGAAAATGTGACCTCCCATGTGCTGCAGTGAGAGAGGAGTTTTTTTCCTTTCATACATTAAAGCACACGAGTGGATTAATATGTTGAAAAATTCAAAGCTAAATTGACCGCAGTCCAGCATTTTCGTCTGTGCAGCAGCTAATATTGGGTGATGACATTTTCTGCTCAGTGTAACTTTTGAAGTACAGATTGGGGTGTGAGAGCAGCGCTGGCTGGCGGGTTGTCCCTTCTGCAGCTGCCGGTGCACCGGTCGTCCGCATCCTCCTGCCCTCCCCGTCCCCTTAGCTGGCCCGGAGTCGCAGGACGGGAGGCTCTGCTGCTGGTTGCCAGTCTGCTCCATTAAAGGTGAACCTCCTCATAACTGCAACCGCCCTACCCACAGGGATGGCTGGGCTTTGTTATCATGCTAATTTGCTTCTTTTTATATCTTTCCTGTTGTCTCAGCCTGGCTTGTCAGTTGTTTTTGCACCACTGTTCCTTAAACACGACATTTTGGAAGCATTTGTATTTACAAGCTGCAATGCAGCGCTGTTGTCTTAACGGTTTGACTGACCCTAATTGCTGTGACACATGTAACTAATGATGTTTTGTACTTTCAAGGAGTGCACTAAAAAGGTGATGACATACGAGTTACTGAATAAGGTACTGTGCAACTTGTGCCGTAGAGTTTGTGCAGACCTTATGTAGCATAATAAGCAGTTTTCCTGTGCTCATATTTGTTTCCCAGCAGCCTGGCCTGTCTCCAGCACCGGGGCTGCATTGCACGCTGAAGGTTCAGAGGGAGAGAAAAGCAGAGTGCTAAACCCATCTCTCAGCTTGAAGAAGCCTAATTTGGTCAGGCTTTGATTTGGTTCTCGTGATTTCTGGCAAATATACCACTATATGTGTGTATATATATGGGTGAGGAAACTGAAAACGGGTGTAAAATTAAAAAAAAAAAAAAAAAAAAATTCAGATTGCACTTTTATTTTTGTTTACTCTTCAACCACAATCTGATTTATGCTTATTGGAGTCTTTGAACTTCAGCTCCCTTGAAGAATCTCTAGTCTATCGCTTTTTTGATGTTGCTTGAAGGGGGGGTGCACGCGTGCGTACGTGTGCTCCCATGCTACGGTGCTCTGGGCAATTTCACTCCGGAGCGCTTCCCTTCCTTTGTTTAACCTATGACCTGTGAAAACAAGAGTTAATCAAAAGTTCTAAGGTAGCTAAGAGGAAGGGGAAGTGTTTGGTTACAAATTAAATATGAGCAAGTCATAAGCCATAAATCTTCGGTAGTGCTACCAGTTGTGCTACTTAAGTTGCATGTGGTACAGAAAGGTTTTGGTTATAAATCCGACCTCTGTTTCTTTGGAGGGGGTGTTTAAAGGCTGCCTTGTAGATTTGCTTTTTGTAAGAAAAAAATCCACATCTTTTCTTTTTTCCTTTTGGCAGAGATCTAGAAACAAATTCAGATAACTATATTTCTTGATTCCCCCCTGAAAAAAAAAAAAATTTAGCTGGTCACAATTTGGTCTAATAAAAGCAGAACTGTTTCACTCTTGAGTAGTAAACACGTGGAATAAGTGATGAAGTAAAAGTATTGAAGATGGCAGGATAAATTAGTTTCCTAATGTATCCAAAGCTTTCAGGATGAGAGAGATCCTGGATTCTGCGGTGACAAAGGAGGGAGGTGAAAATTGAAGTGAGATTGTCTACATAATTTATGCAGTTTTGTGGTGGGTTGGTTTGTTTTATCTTGTCTTGCACCTCGCTTGAGCAAGAGCTACAGAGATCCCCGTGCGTTGTGTTGTGTTGAGGTCTGCTTCAAACATCGGCTCCTTTCCGCAGCTTCAAAACTGCGAAGCTTCTCTCCTCAAAATGGAAAGTTATTCTTAAAATGAGCAAAAAGAAGGGGTTATGCTGAGCCGCCAAGCCATTATTTGGGAAACATGGATTCAAATAAGGAAGAGTTAGTGTTAAGCAAAGGACATTAATGAAGTTCATTCTAAGATCATAGTAAAGGGAAAGCCAACAAGGAGTGAGTAAGTGTAACAGAAATAGGGCTGCACCTTCCCTGTTGTACGGAGGGTTTGATGATGTTTTCACATTGCATGAATATGAGACCTTATCTGGGTTATTCCTGTTAGAACCATAGAAGCTATTTTCTAGGTTCTGAGTGAAAGAATTGAAGTTGGATTTGGATGGAGTATTCTCATGGATAGAACCTACGGATGTGTCATGTTTGGTGTACTGTGGTGAGAAAGAAAACCCTTGAATCTGTGGTGAGGCAAGGTTTAGCTGTGAACAGACAGGCCTCCAACAGGACAGATAAGTAAATCTTTGCAGAAAGAGCACAACCTGAGCTTGGTTTCAGAGCTCAGCTTTGTCCTCGATGGGTGCCTGCACCCTGTGTTGCAAACGGTGCTGAGAACCTGGGCTGTCCTTGGGGCTCGGGCAGACTAGAAGCTGAGGTAACTTGCTTTTGTTCATTGCTGTTATGCTGACACATGTATCATAAACACAATAATATTTTAAAAGGTGCTCATCTTAATTCGGTAGTTTTCCAGCAGTGTCCCTGAGCGATTGAGTAGAACTTGAAATAACGCCTTCCTGAGCTACGCTTTGGTTTCACGCTGTCAGGGAGCTTTCTGCCTTCTTGGTTCTCGTCCTTTGGAACTCACTTGATAGATGCCTTGCAAGGATTTGTTTACTGGGTTCTTAATCTCTACTTAGCAGATATGTTTTGAGAGGATTTCTTGTTACTCTTGTAATGGCTTTTAACTCTGCTGAAGTTTATTTAACTAAACAGAAAGAAAGAAACTTATCTTCTAACTAATCCTTCCGGATTGTTTACAATATAATGCCAAACTTAAATGCTGTTTAAAGTGGTAATTGTCTGTCTTTCTGCTCTATTCTAATACATAGTTTGTAAAGACGATTAGAGCATATTAATTTAAATGATAGTACTGTCATATAACATGAAGAGTTAAGTTGCTTATCGGTATATTTTGATAAGCTACTTACATTTTACAGTAGCATTTGCAGGCTTCAAACAACTGTTAATGATGGAGTGCCATTCACTTTATCTGTCTCATATATAGCTTCTCACTTCATTTATTACTAAAAGCTGTACAGTTAAGAACCATGGGGCACTCAATTCCTTATAGTTGTCAGGATGTAGTCATATTTTATAAAAACTTTAAATCCTGTCTAACTATATCAAAATAGAATCCATTTGCTTCAGAAAGCGCCTGTGATTAAAAGAAGAATCGGTTTGTGTCACGCAAACTTGCTTTCCTGTTCACTGCAGCTGAGGGGAAATTCCGTGCTGGTATTTAAAAAGGAATTGAAATAAAGAACTGTGTCATGAAAGTAGGGCACAAAGTCATACCGAAGCATACTGTAGTGCAAGGTAACATCTTAGCCGTCTGTCTTAGTTTGTGGAATGGAAATGTAGCGTAAATGAAGAAGATGTGATTTTTCGGCATGTTTGTCTTTTAATTTCATTTCTTTATTATTTTTGTAAGTTGAGTGCAAATGTACTAAACGTAAAGTTTCCATTGGACCTAAGGCCTGGGCTAAGCCCAGTGATACAGGATATGGAGTAAGATTTGGCAGCAGTTAAAAACTGAGATACTGGTTATGCAATTTAAAAAATGCAGTGGTATCAAGATTGAAACCCAAAACAACAGCCTGTCTTCAGTGTACTGGACCTTCAGCAGCTGTACAGTAGGCCAGTTCTTTAACATACAGTTTGGGAAATAATTGCAATTAAAAATGTTCCACTGGCCCCCATTGGCTCGTATGTTTGTAACGTGCAGGGTGGGAAGGGAGGTGAGCTCCCAGCGCTGGCCTGGCCGGTGCCCGCCTTGGTTTATGGCTGGGGCTGCGGTTTGTGTTTTGTGCCCACAGGTGGCTGGAAGCGCTGGGGAACAGTAAATCCTGAAGCTCAGTCCTCCAAGGAAAGGGATGCTTCAACCTTCTGGCAGTGTTCTCCTTCAAATGGAAGTTCCAATGTGGCTTTCCTAACATATTTATAAAGTGTCACATCCAGTGGAGGCCGTTGTCAGGATGCATCTATATAGTAAAGGCCAGCAATCTTGGATATATTACCTGATATTTACCAAGCTAAATGCATGCTTTTTCTTTCTCTTTTTTTTTTCAGTTACCTCCCATGGTTTGAAGTCTTTTATAAGCTGCTCAATATCTTGGCAGATTATTCAGCAAAAGGACAGGTATTATTCTAAAGTACTAACCCTTCTTTTCCTTGCCCCGATATCAAATGAGGGAGAGAGGATGAAAACAAGCTGTTTTAAGAAGTGCTTATATGAGAGATGACCATGTGAATTATTAATCTGTATGATACAGTAATACAGAAGATCATATTCAGCCAAGCTGAAAGCTTGGCAAGTGCCTTTGGAAAATAAATACGCTTTTAAATTAGTTTGGGGAAAAGATAAAGTCCAAGAATATGGCTGTGGATCCACCACAAGTTAATGGTTTCCCTCCAGTCACCCACACTGTGCAGACTTTTTGGTTACCTGAACTGTGTGCAGCACATCCGTGCAATTCCTGTATTGCAGTGTTTCGTGAATCCTTGACAAATGTTTTATCTGAGTTTACTTGTCATGTAAGGTAAGTGTAGCACTAAGCTTACTGATGCAAAATGCTTCCCCACAGAGCATCTAACCTAAGCCCTTCAGATGCTGTTTTGCTTTTAAAGCAAAGCAAAGTAAAATTCAGTCTTGAGACAGTGGAAAAAATGTGAACTCAGCCATTAAAATTTGCTTCTAGGTTTATAAATGATAGTTCATGATACAGAGAAATCACATACATGATTGCAATACCTAGCCTAGTTTCAGGTGTTTAAAATATTACAAGTATAATCTTCCTGGTTAGGTTACTGCTTTGATTTATTACCATCTTGTGGTAATAATTGTATTTTGCATTTGTCAGAATCATTTGTGTTTGAGGTAGAAGCACTTAGGATCACACCTTCATCTAGATGGATTAAATAATTGGCTTTACCCTGAGCTAGTGCATTGTTATAAAGACCTTGCAGTGAACTTGCAGTGAAAACTGGCTCTGAGCTGAGTAACTATGTAGTGCATAGGTTGGTGACTCAGTAGGTTGCAGAAACATGTAGAAATACATATTGAAAAAAAAGTATTCTAAAAAAATCATGTTATAAAACCCAGCTGTCAGAGGTAACTACCTTTATTTCTGTTCATAGTCTAATGTATAAATGTATTTTCACATTTTTTTTTACACTTGCAAGTTCTCTAAGCCCCCAATTCCACAAACATTGCCTTTCTGTCCTGGAGTTTAGCTTGTTATATCAAGGCCTATTTAGTATTCCTTCTTTTTTTTTTCCCTCCTTATTTCAGGACAGCCAAAGGAGTGAGCTCCTAGAAACATTTCACAAGCTTACCATCCCTGAGCCAGGAACCTCTGTCCATCTTGGAGTGGTAAGTGAAGCGGGAGGGATGTAAACTAAAGTGTTTAATTTTCATTACATGTCTTAATAGAGGAATGTCAAAAGCAGTTCTCCTTTTTGCAACTTGGTACACAGATGTTGTTTTCCTGTGAGGTCACAGAGCTGTGAAATTCTCCTTTTCACATTTGGGGCCCTCTATTTCCCTTTCCTTAACCTCTGATGTCTTTGAAATGCTGTTCTTTGATTGGAGAAAGATTGTGTATATTCCCCATGGGAATTTCTCACCATGTCGTCTGTGACCTGCGAGAGGTCGCAGAGCAGCAACATGGCATTTATTGCCCACACTTCTGCAGAACTCCTAGATCTTGCAAGTATGGAAGGGGTACAAGACTGGAAGCAAACAGTCACGTACCTGTCACAGCACAGCATTTTGAGTATTAACTGTTCATCCCATATTCTGATTCCTTCTCCTCTTCCTCCCCCCAAGAAAAAAAAACTCGTACAAAAAAAGGATTTACTTAATTCTTTTATCTTGTGAGAAAATGAATCAAAGAACACTGAAGGAATAGATGTGGGATTTTATTGACGGGATTGTGTTTTTCATTTAGTCTTTTGGGGTTTTTATCTTCAAATTAATTTTTGCAGAACAACTTTGTGTTCCAGGCTGTAGTGACAAAATACTTAAGATGCACATTGCTGCAGTTGCCAATTAGTCATTTAGAGTTCACATGGAAACTAGCGGTGTGTGCAGCCACAGTTCTCTTCTCCCTCTCATTTCCTTTACTCCTTCTTCCAAAGTACTTTTTGGCAACAGGCAGCTTACTCTCATCACTTCACCCTGTAATGTCAGTCGACAGGTAACAGTTGTTTGGCCTTGCTAGGTCACAGCTGGCAGTGGAAATGTCCCGGTCCTCCTGAGGCTAGCTCTTTTATGAACAGCGTTTCTGTTTAAGGGGACGAGCTGCCTCAAAAGGCAATGATCAGTTGGGATATTTCAGTTTTTTCATACCAGTGGTTTCAAGGAATGCTGCCCGTCTCCCCTTGTCTCAGACATTTCATGGGCGATGAAGCAAGAAAGGATGTAAAAAAGCAGCCAAGGGACTGTTAGCTGTGGTGTCTTTACGCATTTTATTTTGGCTGTTTACAAGCCTATTTTGGGGTCGGGGTGAGGTTCCTATATGTGATATAGTATACTATTCCTGTATCTTTGCATTGCAGCTTTTCAGCCAAACTAAAACAGTGATATATCAAAAAGAAAAAAAAAATCTATACATTTAGTGTCTATATTCAGTGTAGCTGTTATACCCGCTTGCTATTTCAGGTTATAGACTGTTCATGAAGCACTGAAATGTCTGAGATGTATATACAAGAAAATTGTGCCAATTGTGGAACTATGCCAAGAATATAACAGCCTTTAAAGCTTCAGCAAGTAATTAATAGGTAGCCCTATGACAAATTGTGAAAATCTTAAAAATAATACAAATTGTATACAACACTGATTTATGAAAGCACTTTAGTTGCATTCTCTCCTTTCCTTTCCCAAAGCCCTAACCAGGAATCACGCAAGTCATGCGTGGTCAGATTGGGAAGCAGAGTGAACCTAGTCTCTTGGAATGCAGGCAGTTAACAAAAAAAAGTAACAATATAATGGATTATAAAACTGCGAGACCAATATAGTTTTTCAAAATGTGTATTTAAGGCGTATAAAAGTGACCTAGAACTTTTGTAATATTTCTCAAGGTAAGTGGGCATAAAACTTTAAGAAGTGTTTCGCAGTAAATTTCCGTAACTTCACCATTGTCTTCAATGAAGCTTAGTGATGCTGTAAGTCAGAACAGGTCCTGCTTGCTGCTGTTCCCTCTAGTCCGTCATGCAACCTGCAGTGGGCTGTGGAAAGATGGCTTGAATTATAGAGTGCCTTGGAGTTTCCTTGGCATATGTCATACATTGGGTGAGTCTGTCTGTATCAGCGTCTCTGAAGGACAAAAACATGTAATATAAATTTCAGGAGCATTTGATACTTTCTATCTTAATGCATTTCATATTGCATGTGTGATCTGAGAATCCAGCTTTTGAAATCCATGACAAAGTAGTCATGCTGGTAGTTGGTAACAAATGTTCTGTCATTTTTACTTAGCTGAGCAACTGCTATTACTGCTGTTACTAATACCAAGCAATGCATTTAGATTGCTTTTGACAATATTGCAATAATCAATATTTGCTCTTTTTTAGCACTCTTACTTTACTGTGCCTGACATCAGAGAGCTTCCCAGTATTCCTGAAAATGTGAGTACTCAAGAGGACCGTGTACTTCACCATTCCTGTTTAATGTCAGCAGCAGAATAGATAACAGTTGTTACCGCTGGCATATAATACATTATATTCTGTAAAATATTGCTGGATGTTGAAGTAAACTTTAGGAGGTTAATTTAGAATAAGTACTGGGCGGAAAACATTGTGTTGCTAACTGCAGAAGTACATGAGTAACAGGCCTTTTGAAGTATAACATATCAGTAGAATGTCATGTTTGCCGTTCTAATTAAGAAAAGAAACCAAATGAACAGGAAATTGACAGCAAAATTTTCTTAAGCTGCAAGTCTAGTTGTTTGTTTAAAAAATATAAAGTTTTTATTATTATCACCACTCTATTATTACTTACTGTTAACATTCCATGATTTCTTTTTTCTAATACGTGAGGAAATTTAAAATATACATCTGTAGTTTTAGACTGCTCAAAATTGGGAAAGAACAGGGATTTGGTAAGTGTATGTATGTGGCGGTATGGTGGCATTTCAGAGAACAATGAGGGAATTAATTTGTGTGAAAATTCGCTCACTGCAGTAAGCTTGTGAAAAATTCTTGAAAGTAATCTGAAGGCAGTTTTGTGATTGCCGTTTGAGTGAGTATTACAAGAGTCATCCTTGATGGGAAAATGCAGGATTATGGTAGAAAGGAATTTTATCCACTTTACCAAGACTTCTTATCAAAAACAAGACAAGAATCTGTTGAGGTATTTCACCTTCAGAGCTAATTTGAGTCAGGGTCTGTTTTCTTCTCCTAAGTTCCAAAGAACTGCTGTTTTAAAAGAAACTTAATAATTTCACAAGTAAAGAAGCAATTTTTTTCTTCTGCATCCAGATTAACGCTTCGTTCTCCCCTTGCTGACATCACACTGTTTACATAGTTTTGCTGGTTTTCTTGAGGTATGAGACTTTGAGTACAACATGAAACTGAAACGCAAAACTAAACTTGGGAAGTAATTGTTGGGACCTGCTGGAGAGATAACATGCTGGTGTGAAATTAATTTTCTTTAAAAAAAAATTTCATATACATACAATATGTTGGTTTTATTTATTAAAGCATTACGGCTGCTTATTAGTCAAGCCAAGGATATAATCTTGATACTCGGTATCTTCAGTGGAAAGAGTTTGATGTTTCAAACATCCATATTGCTGGTATTACGAAAGATCAAATACCACTTTGGTATTAACTCGCCTTGTTCTGTGAGATGCTGTCAGAATGCAGATATCATGGATCCTTATACAGAAAACATTTTGTATTGATTCAGATGAGTATCTAGGCTCTTTGCTTTAAAGGCATGTTACTAGCTGTAGTTGCTCAGGCAGTCATTCTTTTCTTTGTGATAATATCTTCCTTTTGTACCGTATTTACACAATAGCATTCAAAGAGTCGACAGTCTGCATTTGTGATTAAACGCTGAAAGGTATTAAGGACAAGGTACTGATAGACAGATTGATATAAGTAGAAAAAAGCAGATCTGCTAATCATGCAGTGAGACCCGTCTGAAAGAACGACATAAGAGACCAGTAAAAATGATCCGGTTATTAGCTGGCTTTCTGAAAATATCAAGCAAACCTGGTTTCTTTAGGGCCACTTTTGCAGAGACTTTATAAGCCTCACAAAGTTGTCTTGTATGCGTTTCAGTGTGCCTCAGATTTCTAGCCAGATGATAGGGCTGTGGGAAGACAATGCTGGATTTGCTTCTCTTAAATACTCTTTAATATGCTCCTGCTATATCTCTTAGCCAAATTTCTATGCCTGACATCTCCATTTTCTTTCTTGAACATTTTGTGTCTGCCTTAGCACCATACACCTCAGGTTATGGCATGAAAAAATAGGGAACCATCGAGACATTTAATCTTATTTGTGGATGATTTGTATAGCAGATAACATTTGGGGCTGGTTGTTTCTGTTTAAAAACATAGTCGCTAGCTTTTCTGTGTTGTAGACTTTTCATACTGACGTGTATCCTGACAGTAAATTTAACAGATGTGCTTTTTCCTCTAAGGTGCTTTAGTTTCGTAGGAATATGATACATTAGGAGTTATTCAAGAGTCAGTTCCTGAATGTAAACTAGCTGTCAATCTGGAATGTGTTCTGTCCTAATCCCGACATGAAGTTGTTTGTTTATAAGGGTTATATTTTATGTTAATCTCTCTTATGCTCATAATTGCAAACTTTAACAATTTTTGTTTGATAATCCCCAAATCACCTGGAGAGCAAAGAAGGAAGTTTGTTTCCAGTTTACAGGCTGGCAAATTGGAGGGCGGAGAGAAATGAGCTAGTAATGGTAAGAAACCAGTGGCAAGGATTAAAAATAGATCATCTGCCTTGGGCCTGCTTTAACTGATATGGAACAGCTTAATAACACACTACATAGTAAAGGCTTCGGGAAGTCTAGCTGTATTTATGCTCTGTTGGTTATGTCTGCTGGTGATGTTCGCTTTATATTCAAAGGTATGAGTCAGCTTCCCAAAACATTTGAGCAGGAGACATGATGAATGCTCAGGAATCAAAGGCTGTTATAAAAGCAGAGGCCTTGGGCCAGAAGGAGTTGGAAACCCTTTGAAAGCTGAACGCTCAGCCTTCATGGGAGGGAGTGCCATGTGATGCTAAAAAGCATCCTCTTTGAATCATTGAGTGGTGCTGATGTGCCTCAGAGGGAATGTGACTCTTTCGATGTAGGTATCCTGCCAGTGATGGCACTGTGAAGGATGGGCTCTCTGCAGTGTCTGGGGTGAACCAGGGCACCTCTGGGAATAGAAGTGCAAGAACATTGCAGTCAGTTAACAAATATGTATGCCCATGTATGTATATATCCAGAGTTAAAAAGCTAGGGCTCATTGTAAGAAAGAAAAATACCAAAAATCAAATGCCTTGGTCTAACTGCTGTTGCAGTTGTTGGCCTTCTATTTCTCAGGCATTTTTGCTGTTTATTTTTTTCTAATGAGTTTTGTGTAATTTCTTAAGAGGATTTTTATCTGTCTGTTAATGCAACTTCCATGTAGAATTGGACCATATTAGGGAATAATACAAGGACATTAAATGAGCATGACTCTTAATGGATTTTAATCAATTGGCCTGATTTATTCAAAATTCTACATATCTTATCAGTAATTACATTTTAAAACCCATACTAGCAAAAGTTTTAGTAGTGCCAAACTTTGAAGTTGTATATAAAGATTAATGGAGAGCTGCACAGAACTCTCTTTGGAATGTTAACAAACTTCTTGGCATTATCTGACTTTGTGTCAGATCAATATGTTTAATGAGTCACGAAAACATTTAGAATGGACACTTCTGTGTAACAGCTAAGCGTTTGCTTTTTCAAAAGATTTAAACTGTGTGAAACACTTGTAAATGCATTGTGACTTCAGAAATAGATTGGGTTTGTTGCAGGGAATACAGTGCAAGACTAAATTTCCTAGTAGTATCTGTAGTGTTTCAGACATAGCAGGTACGTTAGTCTGAAACGATGGCGTTTGCTTGGTGGTGATGTTCTGGTGTGGTTTGTATCATTCAGTCCTGTGTTTCAAAATGCCTGATTTTTCACTCATTATACCGTACGTCATTTGCTACCTGTTTTTCTTAAAATCCCTCCCCACCCATTTTTATTTCTATATTTAGACCATTTGACAAAGTTTGTTGCTGTCATTATTTTGCTCTCCCAAACAACAGCATGGCGTTGTAAAAGAGCGTTACCTGCATACCAGATTACCTAACCCAAGTTAGATTTTGCATGTGTGGTATCTGAAAGAAACCAAACTTCTAAATAAGATGAGGGATTTCCAATAGGAGGATGGAGAAGGAAACCTGACTTAATTCTATTGACCTAACAATAAATTTACTGAAGTCTTGTAGATGAAGCTGTTCAAGAGCAGACTAAAATAACTGAACTATAATTTATGTTCCTGTGTTTGAGCTTCACCCTTTGCAGAGGAGAGAGCTCATTGCTTTATTCCTTCAGTGAGAAACACTTCATTAGATGATGGAGGAAAAGAAGTACATGATTTTTTTTTTTTTATCTGAAAAGTCAGTGCACATGCATTTACTGATATTGGATAGCAGAGATCAAATACATGACTGATCTAGGAATGAACTCTCAAAGGAGCATCAGGGAATTTTGTAGCACTCTTATGAAGTTTTGAGAGGCGTGGGGATACCTGTTCCTATATTTTATTTTGAAAATCCCACTTTTTACTCTCCCAAGAAAGGTTTGAGTCCTAGGAAACAAAACACACAGCAATTATACTGCAAATTGGAACGCTTTCATTTGTATTTATTTAACTCATTCATGGTTTTGTCACTTACGAGACATGTCTTTCAAAATACATGTGTAAGTCCCAATTTCATCTTCAAAGATGACAGCTTTCTTATAAATAAAACTTAGAGCTAACACGTGAATTTCCTTAGTATCAATACATTACCATACAGCCCACATGCTTCGCAGGTGTCATTGGCAAATTTCTGAGAGCAGAGAAGACTAAAACCTTAGAAATCTTTCCATCTGAGGGTACATTTGCGTGTCAAGGCCAGTATTTTACTACAATAAACTTGATGGAAAGAATAATTGCAAATCAAGTCCCTGCGTCTATTTTCCTCTCGCTAGTGGGTACTGTTGCCTTATAAACACATCCATGCTCATGCATATCTATGTCTTCAGGTAGAACATAGGGACTATGGGCGCCTTTTGCCATGCCCCTAATTTGGGTGGCATCAAAGGCAGTTCAGCATTACTTACAAATTCTTTTAATTTTAATTCACGCTATTTGCAGTAATTGTGTCGTCATGCGCTGTGTTTTGGCGTCGTGGAAGGATGGGTGAGAGGGGGAAGAAGAGCCGTAGAGAAGACAGCTTATGTTTAGACAAAAATATCATGCTAATCAGCACAGATGGGATGAGAAATATAGAAAAAGTACATGATAGTTTAATAGTTTTTTGGCAAAATGTGTTGGCTTTTTTTTTTTCTTCTTTGAATATACCTGTCTGTGGCTGTAGCTTTTCTGTAACAAAGGCCTGAATGACTGTTTAAAATCATATATTTGAAGCTAACCATAATGAGCTTAGTTTTTATCTATCTAGATACTGGTACAAAAGTCTTCCAAATACAATGCTTAATTTTTCTTTAGTTCTTTGTGTTTGGATGGCAAGCTGTGGAACATATTTTTGCACAGTATGAAGCATCTTGGCAGACTTCTCAGGCCAAGTATTGGTGGTTTTAGAGTTATCTTTGGATCTGTCAAAAGTGCTAATAGGCTTTGTTGAGCTTCTTTAAGTTTCTAAATCGTATTTGCTTTCTGCTTTTCTGCACTTTTTTATTTAACGATGATTAAGATTGCACTTGAATTCATGACTAATCTAATTTTGCTCTCACATGTGCTTTTTTGTATAAGACTGTCTTTATCATATAGCAACCCTTTCATATCTGTAAGAAGCTATTTGGAAACAAATTCCCTAATTCTGCATTTTTGGGTGTACTAACTTCCCCCCCCCTCCCTTTTTTTTTATTTTTGTGTTTTAAGAGGTGAAAATATCCTCTACAAACAAAAATCCTTTTTTTTTTGCCTTGCACTGTAAAAGCCCCTCATAACATAGTACATTTTGATCGAGTTACCTACATGGTGGCCTTCTGGTTTTGACAGTAAAGATCTTAGGATCACATTCTGCTGTTTATTAGAAGACATCTTAATTATTTAGTAAATGATGCATGATTCATGCCACTGCAGCATGTGCACAGGGCAATTACATTGGTAATGATGAACGGATGATGTTGCTGGCTGATGGGATGATGTGGGGGATGAAGTGGCCATAGCCTCTTGTGCAGCTTGCTCTCTTTTCTTTTTTGAATTTCAGTTATTTACAATAATTTTTACATAGGTACTTTTTAATATTCTGAGCAGCAAAAGCAAGGAAGAAACCTGTGTTGCCTAGGAAGTGTGTATGTAAAGTTTCAGCAGTGTTATTTTCCTGAGTCTTGGTCTTTCTATCTGTACTTTAAAGGCAGATTGCAAATGTGCTTCGCTTACAATATTCTACTGCCGTTAATTTTCTTTATGCTATATAAACATACTGATCACTCGAGTAAAACTGTGTGTTTGAATCCTGCCTCTTCATCAGAGATGGGCATCCACTGAAATTTTCAGAGAGAATTCTCTGTCTCCTTCCTCAGTTTCCCCAGCCCCCCAAGGAAGCGCTTTGTCTTCCACCAAGGGGAAACATGAGCGCATGAAGTGAGGAGTTCAGACAACTCGCGTGACTCTTTTTAGCTTGTGTGTTAAATGCCCGTGGGTGTTTCTAATTATCCGAACTGTTCTAGCATAGACTGAGCTTACACTTGAATTTGTCTTATTGAAAGTGTCCGCTAAAAACCTGTTTTTATTGTTGGGTTGTGTGATTATTTTTTTTTTTTATCAGGTGGCTTTGAAGTTTCCATAGAAGTGACAGAACATATTTTTTCTCAGAGAAGTATCTTGTATTTAAGAAGCTGTGTGTGAAACATCATCAATTTTATTATTCCAAGACCTAGATCCCCAAAAGTTAGGGGAAAGATACTGCAATTAAAAGTACTCTGACGTAAGATGACATACTGCTTTCTTTCATTAAGCCACGCACTGGACAATGTGATAGGAGGATGAAATCCGGTTATGGTTTTTGTTAAGGATGCTTGTTTTTGTAATATCATGAATCAAAAATTCTTTTCTCTCTTCCCAGAGAAATCTGACAGAGTATTTTGTAGCAGTTGATGTCAACAACATGCTGCATCTCTATGCCAGTATGCTGTACGAACGCCGCATCCTCATTTGTTGTAGTAAGCTGAGCACTGTAAGTAAAATGCAGAACAATTTCTTCTATTTACTTTTTTTAAAATGATAATCGTATATAGGAAATGCTCTGATGATCTCCAGGTCCCCCTTCCAATCTCCGCTATGCAACCTCAACCCAATTCTGTGAGTCTGTGTGATGATTTTACTGAACTTCATTGGCCTCTAATGTTTAAATGAAAGAGGGTGGGTTTGGGTACAGGAATTCCTGGGGTTGTTTGGTACATAAATGTATGAACAGTTATGCCGTAGTGAAGTCCCTTTTCCGTGATTTACTTAACAGAAAAAAAAAATAGATAAGTGATCCTGTCAAATGGATGTTCCAGTGGCCTTCCCTGGATGGACCGGAGGAGTGGGCTAAAATACATTGACAATCCACATTTTTGCAGTTCTGTTTGATAAGGCGTAGTCTTAATGCTACTTAGGCTCCATCAAGAGTCTGAGAGATGAAAGCCACTGAATACTCTAGAGTACTTGCTTCTAAAAATGGCTGGACATCAAAACAAGCACACAGCTTGATTTAGTTCAAAGTTTTGTGTTACGCATTTCAAGGTTTATCAGTCAATAAGATTGTGATTTTCTTTTATAAAGAAGAAAATGTTAAGTTTTCATTCTGCTTGCTCCGTAAATGGGTATTGATTGCTTTCCCTTATGAATGACGAGGGTAAGATGGTTTAACTAATTTTGCTTTCTAGTGCTATGGACTAAGTACTTGAGCAATCCTTTCTAAAACCCAAGGTTCCATTTCCATTTTGTATGGTATTAACTAGTCTCTTCCTGTATGACCATGACCTACTTTGTTTGAGATTAAAACTGCTTCATGGAATTGTAAATACTATGGAAGAGTGAAATTACATACATAAAATCATGTAAGAATCACCTGTCGACAGAGGGCAGAAAAATGGCAGAGAGTAAGACTTCACACTTAATGTCAGCATAACTGTTACAATATTGTTTTGAAAGGTAAGTGAAACTAGGAGGGTTAGAATAATCTCTGGGACCCGTTAATAATTACTAAAGTAAGTTTACAATCAATCCCACATTTAACCAAAAGAATGGAAGTATTATAAAGTTTAATATCATAGAAAACATAAAATCTTAACTTTTATATCTGCCCTGTGTTAAGTGCTCTCCTTGCTAAAATAAGCAAAAATACATCCAGGCCTGGTAATTGAATAAAATGCAAAAGAGAGGTGTTTATTTGAGAAACCTAAAGAATGAAAAGAACAGTAAATTATCAGAGAGGAGGAAAGAAGAGAACGGCTATCCAAAGCATTTCAAAATTTGTGTGGTTGGTTGGTTTAATCTCTCCCTTCGTGACAGAGCCTGGGAAGAAGAATTACTTGCCTGTCACTTTGCCTTCCTTAATGAGCCATTTCACAAGTAGGGTTGTGTTTTCTTTCCTATCTTTCTGCTTTTTCTCTTCCTTTTGCCTCTGTCCAAGATAAAAGCATGTCTGGTTCTTCGGTAGGGAGGGGTATTCATACTGTGTGTTCTTATCTTACAACTTTATATATAAACTGCTCCAAGATTGGAGTGACAGTGTAAGACAGGTTTGAAGTGTTGGGCCAGAGCCAGTGATTCCTTGCCTGCACGCTCTGCTCTGCATGTTCCAGCAGTAGGAACAAGCTGCATTATTTTATTTCAAACTGTGCTCAGCGGAAGCCAAGACCTTGTAACTGGAAACGTACCAAACTGAGAATTCTCAAAGTAAAGTGAGGGTGGTGTGGTGGTGAGGGGGATTGGTTTCTTTGTTTTTATTTTTTAGTTTTTTGACAAAAAAGTGGAAGGGACCTATTTGCAGTTATTTTCTTTTAACTTTGAGACATGGCACACTTCATACTTAAGGCTTAAATTTAATATCAGGTAAGAGAGAGAAAATTGAACAGTCCTGGATAGAAAGCCTTTTATGGTGGGATGAATTCTGTGTTATAATACATCATATCAAATTAGAATTTTGATTTGAAATATCCTTAATATAGTTAAGTTGAGTAAGATTTAGAGGTAACCGAATGAGGCTGTGTTTATTAGCTATTTTATAAACTGTGTGTACTGAACCCATGGAAGATTTATTGCTGTTTTCTTGGATTTTTTTTCTTCTTTTCCTGCAAAAGGAACCATGATTTCTCAAAATGTTAAAGCTATTATTCATGTTAAATTTCTTTACGTATTCTGTGATCTGACTGCTCAGGAGAAGCCAAATACGAACCAAAATGCTTAAAAAAACTCTTTGGCAAAAGCCCACCTGCTGGTGGGAGCATGCTGCTGCAAAAATGAAAGAAGAGCTTTCCTTGCATCCAGTATTCTCTCTTCCATCATGACTTGCCCATGCAGCCCTGCCTCAACAAGGTGTGTTAACGACTCAGGATGAAGGCAGCAGCAGGTTGTCTCTCATTTTAGAAAGTTGGCTTCCATGAAGCCTGATGACTCTTAAAAGACTTTGTGAATTGCTCTGATGTTTCTGTTTGGCCCCATCATACTGAGGTGACTTTCTGTGTGTAATTTCTCAGTTATTACTGTGTTAGTACAAAGCAAAAAAAACCCCAAACATTCTGACACGGACACTCTTTTGTTCCTGGAAGCTGAGAGCTTGCCGTGTCGTTTCTTCCATGTCATGGAAAGCTCCAATATACAACTTCTTGTTCCTTGGTTGGTTTCTGACATGCCTCAGGGCTCTGAGGATAAGGAAATAGTTGTCCTTAGGAAAGGATTAATACCATTCACCAACTGTCCTTGTGATGCAGCATAGCTAGGAGCTTGCACAGTTCTTGTTCTACAGCAGTCTTACAACTGCTCTTTCAAATGTACAAGCTCTTCCTTCCCAAGAGCTCTGCTACTGTCCTTATAACCTGCCAGTATAGGTCTCGACCTTCACACACAGCCTTTGCTATAGCTCTGCTTTTACTGTTTAATTCTTATGTAGCTCAGTGTTAAGCTTTCCACTTTATTTTTAGCCCTGAGTAATGCAGAAAAATGATCTTGCAACCACTCAAAAGGTGGTCGTTTTTCCCAGTGTACACTGCACGTCTGCAGCCATGTACTGCATCTGTAAAACTGTGCAGTGCAAATGCATCGGGAGAGAGAGTAACGTGCCCTGGGAAGTGGCCCATCGTAATTCAGCATCAGTTTGTGATTTTTATATATACGACAAAATCCCACTGATTTAATTTGTGCAAATAAGGCTTTTAGAGTATTAAATACAAAACTGTGACAAGTGATTAGTGAATCAGTGTCTTTCTTCCATAGCTATGTTTTTACATTCTCTAGCAACAGCTGCAGGAAGCTGAGGTAGTGGAACTAATCTTATTTCAAAATGCTGGATTCCTATAGTTTTGACAGTTGGGCATTTCTCAGGCTGCCTTATTAAGTGCTTGTTTTCTGTATGGCAATCACTAATCAGGTGAGGTCTCCAGCAAATACGCTTTTTTTTTTTTTTTTTTCTGAGCCCTTATCTTGGCAGAGTTGAAGGACGGTACTGGTGCTTACTCATGGTAGTATGCTATTTGAATTCATGCCAGATCGCAAGGTGGGAGTACATCTCAAAAATAAGTGACAGGTTCTGCTCAGATGTCTGCAGTGTTGAGCATTATGTCTGTTTAATCTTTTCTTGCTGAGTTTTAAAACCAATGGGAGGGGGGCTTGGAAGGGGCCTCCTTGGGTTACTGAGTTCACTCCTCTACAGCGGCAACCACGTTATGTAATAACGCCAAGAAATAATCCATTTGATCCTCATAGAAGCAGTTTTTAAGAATTAAATTCTTAAGTAGTATTTTTTCCAGACATCTTTTTGATTTGGAGAACAGAAACAGAAAACATAAAGTATTTAGGAATATAGAGGGGAAAATAACATTGGGAAAGCATGTTTTTTATCTTTATCTGCTGCATATTTTGGAACTAGGTTATGCCTTTTGTCTGATCTGTGAGAGAAGAGCATCTTCTCCAGGAGGAATATAAAGATAAGTTGAAATATAGTGGGATAGGGATAAATCTTTAGTGTTTCATGAGTCGTAAATATAGAATAAATTCAAGATTTTGTATCTTCTAACTTTTGCTTTAATTAGTACCCTAACATACCAATATTTCCACCCCATATGGGCCATAAAATAATGCTCACCTGATAATAAAGAGCATTCTTGTTGAGAAAGACTGAACAGGTCCTTGTTCAAATACTTGCTGTGCCCTGTCTGCTTCCAAAGATGCTATTTCCTTCGGACGGTGGTTCAAATCTAGGTTATGTTTGCATAAGTGAGAATATGCAAGAATTTATTCTCAGCACAGGGATGCTTTTCAGCTTTGTGGACCCTCTTGTTACGACACTGTCAAATCAAGCAGTCCTAGGGTGAGGAGTGACCGTGTAGCTTTCATGGGAAGAGTAAATAGGGCCTTTCCAAAAGTAAGCCATGCCTCAAATCTTAAAAATCTTTAAAAATTTAGGTAAGACTGTACAATGTTGAATCCTTCAAAGCTATTAGATAATTTTTTGTGGCATAGGAGAGTTTGATCCCCTTGAAGGTAAACAACTGGCGAAAAGGCTGAGGGGAAAAAGGGTGAGAAAAATTATCCTGGAAGTTGCTAAGCAGTCCAGCAGTGCTGTGTTCTGGAACATCTTCAATAGCTTCATGAAAAACAGTTTTTAAAAAGGGGAGAAAATGTTGTGGCAGTCATTTTGTTACATAGCATGGATAAGTATAGAATAATGCTATGGGGAGAAAACAGTTCTAACCATGTAAGCAATCAGGGTCTGAATGACTGAAGTAACTATTACCACTCAGAAAGAGATACTGGAGGTTGTTTTAAAGAGAGAGAGAGAGATGGATCTATGAAAATGCCAGCTTATTACTCAGTTGAGGGCTTAGAAGCCAAGAAATTATTATGAAGGGAGTAGAGAACAAAAAAGAGGGCATAAAGCCACTGGATGTGTCCATGGCTTGCCCACATTGTGAATATTGCTCAAGTTCTTGTCTACTCCAAAGAAAAAGTGATAAAGTAAAACAGTGAAAAGTACAGAAAACGGCAACAAGAACAAGCAAATACACAAAATAATCTCTCAA